CGCTATTAGGCTGGAGGCCATCGCTATTAGGTTGGAGGCCATCGCTACTAGGTTGGAGGCCATGGCTATTAGGTTGGAGGCCATGGCTACTAGGTTGGAGGCCATGGCTACTAGGTTGGAGGCCATTGCTATTAGGTTGGAAGCCATTGCTATTAGGTTGGCGGCCATCGCGGTGGCCATCGCTGAACTGTGCACCAAGAGCTCCAAAAGCCAAAGAGTGTGGCCTTTTGAGCGCGAAAAAAATACATGCATGGCAATGCGAAAGGGCCATGAGAGATAGCTGATGATAGCTGCAGCAACTTTGTGAGAATATCTTCTTCGACCCCAGAACGAATCTCATGTCGACTGTTGGAGTAGGAACAAGAGCTAAAATGACCTAAACAAACTAAGCTTTTGTGAACCATCATAAAATGGGGAGGAACTCTGAATCCAACAGCTCCAAGCAGATCAAACCAGCTCCCAAAAGCACCATCGCCTTCGGACTCCGAGCCCGAGCCAGTGCCGCTTTCTGTGAGGCCTCAGGTCGGCCGAGGTCCCGGACCGTGGTCCCGGTTGGGCCCGGTGACCAGCCACTCCCACGGTGCATGGGAAGACCCTCATCACATGGGAAGACCTCCTCACATGGTGTCGACGTTCCTCCGACTGCAGAAGAACCACTGGCTGCGCAGTGTTCGCTCACGAGGACAACAGACTGACGGGTTGGGTGGGTGCCATGACACTCCCACGGGGTCCATGTGAGTGACATCGGGTCCATGTGAGTGACATGGACTGAAGCTGAGGGTTGAAAAACCCTCCTGAGTCACCTAAACCATCCGACACCCAGACGGATGCAAACATCGCCAGGACGGTCTGGAACAGGACGGGCTGAGGACGGGAAAAGCACCGAAGCTTGGTCTGCAGAATCACGTGATTACACGGCACTCGTTGGGCATGTCGAGGCTTCAAACCCGCCACTCCATGCAGGTGAGAACGAGTTTTCGCGGTCGAATCAACGCGGTGAATCCAAGCGCTGAGAATCCCAACCGGCATCCCGGCACCCCCGACTTAGAAGGCACTCCTTATGTATAGATCATCTGGTACACTCTGACGAACACGTCGGTCACGTGGAGTTCGCCCCCTGGTTGTAAAGGAATTCGGAATGCAGTTTCTCAACGGGCCATGCCATCCCACGTCACCATGAACATGTCTTCGTCGGAGTGCTTCTTCCACTCAGACTCTTGACGTTTACATCCCTTGGGCCTTGACCCAAAAAACGATCACCCTTTGACCAAATCGATCACCTCCAAGGGTGACTTGTTGGGTCCCTAATAGGGAGACTTCAGGGAGAGTCTCCTCGACTTCCTCGACCCACCTCTCACCAGAGCAGACCACGTCACCCGTCTGCCACACTGCCTCATCTCTCGCCTCGCGGGTGCTGATCGAAAAAACAAAACGTGAGGTCCCGGCTGCGGCGTTGAACCGAAGAACCACTCGGGATGATTCCGATGTCCATCTGAAAAATTACACCGCCGTAGACCCCAAACAGCTTGTGTGTTTCAAAATCGGAACAGTCTGCAACACGCGCACAGCCAGCTCACAACACCAGCACCAGCACCCGGCACCGGCACCCGGCACCGGCACCCTGTCTCCAACTAGAGTTTGCGACGCCCAGAGCTGGTGAACAAAGCATTGCAAGGCAGACGCGGACACAGCAGTCCAGAGCTGGGAAAACATGTAGACACAGGGAGACAATTTAAAGATATTTAAAGGATTGCAGGGCAAACACGGACACAGCAAGCCAGAGGTGGGAGACAAATGTAGATAGAGGGATACAAATGTAAAGGATTGCAGGGCAGAGCAGTCCAGAGCTGGGAAACATATGTGAAGGGTTGCAAGCGAGAGGCGGAGACAGGAGTCCAGAGTTGGGAGGCACATGTAAAGACAAGCGGGGAGACAAATGTAAAGGATTGCAAGGGAGAGGCGGACACAGCAGCCGAGAGCTGGGTGACAAACGCACCGTAAAGGATTGCAAGGCAAAGGCGGACACAGCAGTCCAGAGCTGGGAGACAAGTGCAAAGCATTGCAAGGCAGAGGCGCACACAGCAGCCCAGAGCTGGGAGACAAATGTAAAGGATTGCAAGGCAGAGGCTGACACAGCAGTCCAGAGGTGGGAGACAAATGTAGATAGAGGGGTACAAATGTAAAGGATTGCAGGGCAAAGCAATCCAGAGCTGGGAAACAAATGTGAAGGGTTGCAAGCGAGAGGCGGAGACAGGAGTCCAGAGTTGGGAGGCACCTGTCAAGGATTGCAAGGGAGAGGCGGACACAGCAGCCAAGAGCTGGGAGACACAGGATTGCGAGGCAGTCCAGAGCTGGGAAACAAATGTGAGGGAGACACATAAAGGGTTGCAAGGCAGAGGCGTCCAGAGCTGGGAGACAAATGTAGACATAGGGAGACAAATGTAAAGGATTGCAGTCTAGAGCTGGGAAACATATGTGAAGGGTTGCAAGCGAGAGGCGGAGACAGAAGTCCAGAGTTGCAAGGCACGGATTGTAAGGCAGAGGCGGACACAGCAGCCAAGAGCTGGGACACACATGTACAGGATTGCGAGGCAGAGGTGGAGCTGGGGGACACATGTAAAGGATTCTTGTTTGTCATTGCGCCCGCCTCGTCTCCCTTACTCCCTTTGTCTCCGGTCTTGTCTCCTTCTTGTTGGTCACTGTGTCCGCCTTCTCCCTTCTGTCTCCTTTTGTCTCCCTTCTTGTCTCCGGTCTTGTCTCCTGCTTGTTGGTCACTGTGTCCGCCGTCTCCGGTCTTGCCTCCCTTCTTGTTGGTCACTGTGTCCGGCTTGTCTCCCTTCTGTCTTCCTTCTTGTCTCCCTTCTTGTTGCGCGGTGCCAACCTCTCCCTTGCAGTCCTTTCCATTTGTCTCCCAGCTCTGGACTGCTGTGTTGCAATCCTTTATTTTCTGCTGTGTCCGCCTCAGACAAGAAGGGAGACAAGAGACAGAAGGCAGACAAGCCGGACACAGTGACCAACAAGAAGGCACAGAAGACCGGAGACAAAGGGAGACAGGAGGGAGACAAGGCGGACACAATCTCCAACAAGAAGAGACAAGAAGGGAGACAAAAGGAAACAGAAGGGAGACAAGGCGGACACA